TATCATTTGGTATAATTCTCCCTTCCTATTTCGTTGAAAATTTATCAAGAATGTCAAATGAAGATCACCTGCGCTAGTTGATTAAGTTGAGGATTCTCATAACTATTTCCCTGGATAACAGCGATCAGTAAAGTGAGGAAATTTTTCATGTTGATCCTTTTAAAAACTCCTATTATCTGATTGTTAGTCCTCCCCTTTAGCTGCTACACATTTCCTTGTAAATTGGTTACGAGAATTTGGTGTTAGATCAAGGTAACAACTCCTACTGATAAGTTTGAGTATTCTCATTGCCTCTTTGCTGGTATGGATACTCTGCGGAGAAGTTACAAGTGAATCACTTTCGGTAGTGAAAGTTTCATGACCACTAGAAACCAGGAGAAACCTCAGCAAAAACTCAACAGAGTTCACTATTAGAGCAGAAGCAAATATGCATTCCCTTTTCTGGAAGGCCTTTTTCTAGATATAAAATTACATAAAAATGCGGGACATTTTTATATTGAACAAAATTGACCCTTACCATTAAAAGTCAATATGGGAAGTCCTATCGGTTTTTCTTAAAAACAACAAATAGTATAATATTACATCTTCATCTACAACTAATATTCATCGAGTCAGCAAAACCGCAAAATATCATACCAAGTGAATAAAAAATAATAATGAACAATAATTGTAGCAATGATAAAATCAGTATCAAAAATCTAAAAGCTTAAAATCGTGCAGTTATATAAATTCTGAATAAAAGCACCGGTAAAATATTAAAAAGTTATTGACTAACTTAGATCTAAAACTATCTATGGACGTTGCATTTACAACATCTCCATTTATAATTTGTTCTTGGAATTAGGAATAAAATTTAACACATCCTTTTTTGCCTTGGGGACTACAAACTTAAAAGGGTGGCTCCCAACGGGTTCTTCTTTTGCTGCTTGCTTTTACATGGAATGATACGGAAAACCCTGTCAGATTGTGGGAGAGTTTACACATAAAAGATAGCCTGGTGGAGAATGCTGAAAATATCCCAACAAGGCTTCGTCATCATTTAGAGCTAAACCACCCTTATCATCAACAACAATTTGAAGGAAGGTGCCCACTATTGCCACTGCGCACGCGGGCTTCGCATCGCACCATAATTGTGAGCTCGCGCGTGGGTGGAAAAACTCGTCTCCCGCAAAGATTACGCGAGAGACCGGGAGCGGTGAAAGATAAGTTGAGAGAAATAAAACGAATGGAAGGAAATGTGGCTACATCACAGCGCCGTGGCTAAAGTCAACATGAACCTCATGGAAATTGGTCCTGAAGCGAGGAAAGTCTTTAAAACTTAGAATCTAACCGCTGATGAAAAGAAAGACATTAAAAATGCCATCGAGCAATTCGACATTTACTGTGAGAATGTTCCTAATTATGAGCGGTATCGTTTCAATTTACGACAACAAGGGCCTGGCAAATCCTTTGATCGGTACGTAACTGCTCTTTGTCATATCACTGATAAGTGTGGTTTTGATGCTATTACGCCAGACGGTATTCTTATAGGCAGTATTATCTTTTGCATTGCTGACAACAAAGTCAGGGAGAGGCTTTTGCGGAAACCCGATCTCAATCTCAACAAGACACTTAATATTTGCCGTGCCGTGTTAGAGGAGGAAGAAGACTACCCAGTCTTACAGGTGTTTAGAGTGTCAACGAGCCAGACTGCTGACTCGAGCCTTGTGACGCTTAAGATGGCAAATGGGAACTTTCTGTGGTTTGAAATAGATAATTGGGCCTGATGCCATGTTTTAACTTATGCTAACCAATGGAGTTCCTCAAGGTAGCATATTATGACCTCTACTATTTTTAATGTTCGTCAATGATCTTCCCGAAGCTGTTGGATCGGACTCAATTCATGCCTACGCGGATGACACCACATTTAAAGCCAGCGCTAATATCGATAATGCACCTTTGGAATTGGAACGACGTCTTCAAGAATACATGGATAAATTAAGTAAATGGTCTAGCGAAAATGGGATGGTCCTAAACGCCGTTAAAACCAAAGCATTACTTATCACCGGAAAGAGGCTACATTCATCATTAGTTGATGGCAATCACCTGTCAGTGACCCTTGATGGGGCCGAAATAGAACAAGTAACCTCTTATAAATTGCTTGGTGTAACACTCGATCAAGATCTTACATTTAGTGACCACATTTCTAGCCTAAAGGCCAAGCTTTCTCAGCGTATTGGTTTATTGAAAAAGATAAAGAGATACCTTCCAATAAAAGAAAGACTCTTATACTATAACGCCTTGATTAAACCCGTCCTTATGTACGGGAGCATGGTTTGGAATATCTGCGACGTTAAAGAACTCCACTGTCTCCTAAGGTTACAGAAAAGGGCTGCCCGAGTAATTCTTGGAGTGGACTCTTATTCTAGAAGTGTTGTAAACTTTAGTAAACTAGGCTGGTTGCCTTTTTTTGATGAAATCAAACTAAATAAGTGTACAATGATTTTTAAGAGCCTTAAAGGCGATGTTCCGATTTACATCAGAGACTTGCTCAAGACGAACAGTTCTGTACACAATAGGTCTACTAGACATGGCAATTTAAATTTAGTGTGTCCCAAATACCTAAGAAATAACGATGGTGGCAAGGCATTCAGTGTTGACGCAGTTAAGTTATGGAACAGCCTTCCCCATGATATCAAAAATAAGCCTAGTATAAAACTATTCAAAACAGCTGTGAAAAAGCATTTTATAAGCTCATATAAAAACCTGGACAACTTTGAAACAATATTAAGCAATAGCACATTATCTAATTTTAATTTTTTATAAAGGTTTGGAATATCTGCTATTTCTATCTGGAATATCTGCTATTTCTATCATAGAATTTTGTAATTATTTATATATTTATTTATTTATCAGTTTTTTGTAATGCTGTATAATCTAGTTAGAGGGCCACAGGTTTGTCAGCTTTTCAGCTGTTACGTGTCCCCCTCTATAAATAAAGTCCTTACTTACTTACTTACTAACGGCTCAAATCTATAAGGTGATTACAGCCTTAAGGGCATTTGCCCAGGTTAGTAGTCAATCGTGTCGTATGATGGTGGGAGCATTCCAGTTGTGGGAACGGTAAAGATACAAGTGCAGCGCAGATCGTTCACGTGTCTGTTATTGTTTCGTCTGATGGAGAGCAAACGTTGCCGTCTTATTATAGGCAAACGGCATGCAAAGGAGTGGGTGTGGTCGAAATCAAGGACTCAGACGCGATTACACAGCCTGATACAAGGGGTGGTGAAATTTTCTTTCTTCAGGCCGCAATTTCTGACTCTAAAATTCTTACGAACGACCAGGTTATTGTAGCGATGTATCCTGATGATTTTGACGACGGCATTGGTGTTCTTGAAGGCGAGTATCACATTAGGCGTAATGAATCAGTAAAACCGGTGCAACATGCAACCCCGACGAGGTCAGGTCGCTCTTTGTGACGAGGTACACAGTTCTGGGATCATAGCACCAGTCACAAAACCTAAACCCTGAAACTCCTCTATGTTGGCTATCCCCGAAAAGAATAGGGACATTCGAGTATGCCTTGACCTTAAGGATCTGAAAAGACTAATTTATCGTGAGAACTATTCCATGTCCACTATCGATGATATCGTCATTCACCTCTTGGAAATTTTGCAAGTCAGCCGCGTTGGCTTCAGTTTCAACATAAGATGTAAATACATTGGTACTACTTTGTAGGGGAGGTAGGGGGAAAGCGTCTCTCACGCGAGACAGTTCGCGCTGCGTGGGTGTCAATGTGTTTACTTACTGAGGAGGTGCTGAGAAAGCTTTAACAAAGTGATGAAAAATCGAAAAAAAAAATTAAATAACCTAAGAAAACGCGCGGTGACCCCTATTTTCAATAACACTGGACAAAAGAAAAAATCCATAAAACATGTGCAAAAACTGTTTGCCAGTATTTTTGTTTTTGCAAATCAGTGATCAGGATTAAAATGGCCTCAATGCAGTCATTTTGATAATAAAAACTTACATTACGCGTAAAAGGACTACATGCTGTTCAATTTGGAAATAATTGGATGAAGAAAATTGTAAGGACGGCCAAAATTGAACGAGTCCAATTTGGGTGTCACGGGAATTTTTTGAATTCTTTTTTTCCAAAATTTTCCAAAACTGGACCAGCAGGTAGTCGCTCTTACTCATTAATCATATAGCTAGTCAGTTGTAATTCGGCATTACTCAGTCAACCTATTTTTCTTTGATTTTTAAAACTGTCAAATTCGGGATTAATTTGGATAGTTTTGAATTGGAAAGTGAAAGCCGTGGCAAATTGTTTTGTTTGATATGATCAAAAGATGCGCCCCATTTCCAATCAATCAAATACGTCTAACAGAGCTTTTCAAGTCTTTCTCTTCATCCATTGTGAATCATTATCGTATTGTGATAGGTGCATCTTCATATGTGGCGATCTACAAAAGTCTCGTCAAGTCATATTCAGTAACTTAAATATTTAAACTTTGATTTTTCTTACGCTATTTGTGCCTAAAACAAAAACTGCCAATTCATCTTCACATCCGGAATCGATCAGTTCAGTTCAGTTCTAGAGGATGTTTGTGCTCACTTATATCTAATAAAAAAAAAGTTCAGCCCTCCGAGAATTTTGAGAATGAACGTCCAACTAAACAAAGTGATCAATGCGTGTTTAATAGTTGAATGCAGGATTCAGCTTAAAGGGTTTGATTTGCAATTGAGATGTTTTAATCACATTCGTTGTCGCATAAGTCACGACATTGTTTTGATCATCCGTGAGGACTTTTTTTCAATGAATATTTAATGAAGTGTCTTATTTACCATCTGTTTGTAGCAAAGGTGAAAGACCCTGATAAGCCATCGGGGACGTTTCTCTTGATCTCAGTAGCTTTGGGGCGGTAGTCACCTTGAAGGAACCTCGGAACAGCCAAAATCGGAGAAAAGCTCCGATCGAAAATGGCAAATAACACGACAGACAAGCTGGATGACGGAATTTACCTTCAGTTACCTCTTGGGTTCACAATCTTCGAATTGAGCCTTCAAATCTTAATCGGTTTGTTTGGCTCCATTGGAAATGCTATCTCTTGCGCTGCCATAATCAGAAGACCAAAAGTGTTCTCTGCCATGAGCCATTATCTTTTAAGCCTAGCACTCGCAGATCTAGGTGTCTTGATGTTTATTTTACCTTTAACCATCCTTCGAGCTCAATTTCCTTTTAAATGGGTCCTCGGGAGGTTTGTTTGTTTGTACGTTAAACCCTGTTTAGAAGCTTTCTATGGAGCATCTGTGTGGTCCATCACGATTATTGCGGTCGAACGCTACGCAAACATCGCCTGGAAAGAAATAAGAATTGGAGGAAGAAGGTCATTGAAGCGATCTCGGTTGATCATTATCGCTGTATGGCTGGTATCCTTCGCTACACGCAGCATACCACTTCTCGTCCATGTAGAGTACTATTCTAGTTTTCAGTTTTGCATCAATACACTGACGACGACCTCTCACCGTACAGTTGTCACGATGAACTTCATACTGCATTACCTCCTGCCACTAAGCATCATAGCTTTCTGCTACCGAAGGATCGGCAACATGGTGTCCAGAAGAACAAGGAAATTTCAAGACGAGACAACAAAGCTCTCGGGAGTGAGAGAATCGTCCTCGATGGTAAACTCGAAAGCCATCTTACATCAGACCAAGAAAACGCAACAAATCCTGAGGCCGTTGGTGATATTGTTTGCTTTGACCATGCTACCCTTAAATGTGTTCGACCTTGTGGGAGTTTACTGGCCAGACCTCGTTTATGTGAGCTTCCACAAAATTCTCATTCCGATCGTGGCTATATCGACGTTCGCAAACTCTGCGGCAGATCCTCTGGTATACTGTGCTGTCAGTAGAGAGTTTAGAACAGAGGTGAAGTCGTTGCTACCCTTCTGTTTCCAGACACACCCTAAGAAGAGGAGACAAAGCAATTCTTCTTCCCTCGCCAAGACAACAAGATTAAGGGAAACTCATATGACGAGGGTTTCAATTCAACACGATACACCATTTTGAGTGAAGGGGTAAAAAAAGACTGAGTGTGACGTGAGAACAAAAAGAAATTTTGAAAGCTTGGAAAAAAACGCCATTAAACTTAAGATCCTTTAATATGTAAAACTGACATTGTTTATTTTGCATTTGAGTCTCAGTGGAAGAGATATTAAAAATAGAAACACGCTGGATAATTATCATCACTAAACAACATTGCAAATCAAAATTAATTTGCAGAAATAGTTAACTCTCCGGTCGCCGAGTAATTTTGGTTCCCCACATTCATAATGTCTTAATACCAAAAGCTTTAGACTGATCATAATTCGTCGTATGCACAGTTCTTATGAAATGACTGCATTCTGTTTTTTTTTTGTGTTAAATAATCGTTTAATAATCGTTTAATAAGTACGTCTCCAGTAAAATTAATGCAGTTGTCGGTTCCTGGGTAAAGTTCATAAATGATCAAAATGTTTCCTGTCGGCCTTGAAAAAGATGAAATTGTGGCTAATAAAACAGCGGGGAAGCTGTGACCTTAAATTGAACAATTTTTTTCAATTTTTTCGGTCTTACAGGTGGCTCGTCGCATTATCATCTTCATGTGTTTTCGCGGCTTAAATGAAGACCTTTTGTGTCGATATTATGTAACATTTGTCGACAAAATATTGCGATATGACTACTGTACTGAGTCACACTGAAAAAACTGATATGTAAAACACAAAACGCTAATAAACATTGACGTTTTGACGTTCGATTGAGGTCATTATCGAGTCAAACAGTAAGAGTGATGCAAAAATGTATGAATACAAAGTAACATATGAGCATTTAAGTCACCTAACAGAACGCCACTTTTTAATTTAGGTGCCAAGGAAAGTCTTAAATGCCCTCGTTTGAGAGAGTTTGAAAGAGCAAATTTACCTTTCAACACAAGCAAACTAAGGTTGATTAATGTTCTCTGCGAGACTCTTTGTTTGAAAGAACATTCACAACACTTTTATTGAACGACTTAGCTGTCGAATTATCCCTGGAAACGCCGAACAAAGAAAAAATTGTGGAAAGATTGCAAGACATCGAAAAGCGACGGGATGAATTGCTGGAGTTATTAGAGCATCTCTAAAACTTTTAGAAAGAAAACGACGACGCGACAAATGTGGCTGCAGTCAAGGAGGAAGCCGGTGGAATAGTGGATCGTGTCAACAGCGAAACAAGTGAAGCCCCGTTGTTTTAAATGAAGGGAATGGACAAGAACACTGAAGGAGTTTTCTAATGTTGAGAGGAAGAGCAGGAAAATGGAGAGCACGAGTGCTGAAAGGAATGGAAAACAGGAAGAAGTGGGAGAAAGAGAAGAAACTGCTCATTGATTTTGATCAACTACTACAACCTGCTATTTCGAAAGAGGGAAGTTCGTGGAGGTGACGGAGAGCTTAGTGCCAGAATTTGCCTGCTGGGATGGACAGTTATTAGCGCCATTGACGAGCATGTAATACAGGTTCCTTCACACATTTCGTATGCAGACGTCAGATAGCCATGAAGGGGGACTTAAGATCTAATGAAAAAATTCTGGAGCCTGGAGGCTTTTGGCATCACGCCCAAAGTGGATGGACAGCTGACCCCAGACGAGAAGCTAGCCTTCAAGAAAGTCAAAGAATCTATAAGATTCACCGGAGAAAGATACGAAGTTACCGTGCCGTGGAAACGCGACAAACCACATTTGCCATCAAAACCTGGCTATGTTTGAAAAGCACATTCGCTCAGTTGTAAAGAGGTTAAAGCAGGATGAGAAGCTCTCTCACGCGCATCAGTACATACATACATACGTTAGTTGACCACTCCCCATGGAGGCTTTTCAGGGCCAATTCCCACCCCCGTTCCACCCCAGGGGAGGACATCCACTACACAGTAATCTCGTGCGTGGGAAATTAACGTCTCCTACACCTAACCCTGCAGGAGACGGGGCCTACGGTTTATTCGTCCTTATCCGAGAAGACTAGAATATCTATCCATTTTTTATTATAGAAAGGAAGCAAATTCTCCTCACTTATTTTAAGACCACGAGTATCTGTCCGGCCGGGGCTCGAACCCTCGACCCCCCGCACAACACAATCCAGCGCTCTAACCAAATGAGCTAACCGGGAGGCGGTTGAGCTAACTGGGAGGCAATTGATGACTACAGAAGGAAAGGATGTATTCGAGAAGACCCTGAGGAGGGGCCTAAAACCCTTATAGGAATGGTTTCTTCTACACTCCCCAGTTTTATTCCTGAGAAATCTACGACTAAAGTTCGGATCGGATTCGTCGGCCCGCACAACAAAACGGAAAGAGTTGAAGAGCGAATCGCAACCAAAGTGATATTGTCGACATCTTAGTGAACTTTAGAAACGAATCATGTACCTTTATCAGTGATATTACTCAAATGTACCATCAACTAATTATCATACCAATTGACAGGCCACTGTACAAATTTCTGCAGAGGAACTTGGACGGAGATGACAAGCCCGGTCTGTATGAATTTTAAGGTTTATTCTCGTAGGGTGTTATTGTCCATTTTGCGTCCAATTTGCTATGCAAAAACACAGTCTGGAGACATACCTATTGGCAGGTAAAGCAGGTTTGGATCACTGCTAAATGGATGACCTGATGGCTTCGGCACCCACGGTAGATTAGGCTAAAGAAACGAGGAGGCAACTGATTGAATCAGGCGACAAGGCAGGATTTCACATTCTTTAGTGGGTATCAAACGAACCCTACCCGATTGCTGGCATAAAGGAGGAAGATAAAGAAGTTATTGATGCAAAAGTATGGCTAGATTCAAGAACCTGGAACTATTTGTTGCCAAAACACTAGCGGCAAAAATGGATTAAGAGGTTTCAAGAGTTAAATGACCTTGAACTAGTGAAACTCCCAAGGTGTTCGAAAGAGCCTGTGGCCAAAGCAGTGAAGTTGAGCATCAATACATTCACCGACGCGTCTGAGAACGCTTATACAGCTGCAGTCTGTTCATGCCATGTGTATCAGAATGGTGATATTGCTTTTCGGTTGATTACAGCAAGATCCATGCTTGCACCCTTGAAAGCTGTAAGCACCCCTTGACTTGAGCTTCTTGGCGCGCTTTTCATCGATTAACAGTGCAAGTTTGCCAGGCTCTCAAAATACTTAAACACGAAGTGACATAATGGGTGGACTGTGTAAGCCGTTTATAGCTCCTCTGTTTGGTGAAATACACGAGTACTCAGTCTCCAATCGGTAGTGGTATGTCCCACCAATGCAAACCCAGCAGACCATGTAAGGAGAGGCCCAACCGTAGAAGAACTGGCAAACACAAGCCTTTGTTGTAACGGACCTAAGTTCCTGAAGAAGACAAAAACAAGAATGGTCGGAGTGTGAGTTTGATGGGCCAACGTCTGGAAAGGGCCTTGAGTTGAAGAAAGGAAACGAACTTTCAGCAAAGGAGACTTGTAGCTACGAGACCACCAGGGTAGGCGAAGCGAATGCCAACGATGGCCGGCTATGCCAGAGATGAAGAGGGTTGGTGGTTGAATCCAACAAGATATTCAGAGTGATATGGTGAAAGCCAAAGGAGAATTGGAGCTTTGTTTAATTTGTATATAGTGAGAGTGAGAGCCCAGGTGCGCCCATTTATTGACATATATAAAAGACCAGCCGATCAAAGTTTGAAGGGGCGAACTTACGCTGTTGGAGCTTCAAGATGCTGAGAAAGCTACCATTGGGAAAGCGCTGACTGAGACGCACGCAGCTGAGATGAATGCCCTAAAAAGAAAGTAGCAGATTCCAAGAAGACGTTTAGTATCAACTTTCAGTCTTGTAAGTGGTTAATAGCATTTTGAGTTCGAACATAAGATTACAACTGGCAGATAATCTTTCCTTTGACATCGCGTTTCTGGCCCTATTACCCAAGAGGAATGAAGCAACACGATTGAGGGTGAAGTACTACCACAAATCAGGTCATCAGATGGGCCTTAACGATACAATCAATCACCTTAACGGGAAATATTTGCTGGTCCATACACATGAACAAGTTAAACGGATCATGAGAGGTGTGTTTATAGGGCGAAATGATTTCGATCGAAACCAGCTTATGGCATCATTACCTAGAATGAGACCGCAGCAATCATTTAGACCCTTTATTAACTGTACGGTTTATATTGGAGGGTCAAACTTGACTAAGGACGGGGCAAAGTTCGAGCGAAGCGCAACCTGTGTTTATTCCTGTGTACAAGCACATGTTCAGCCATTTAGAGATGGCGTCCTCCTTGTACACTGACGTATTTCGTGATGCATTCATACAGATGACTACGCGGAGAGGATGATCTCATGCACCAAATGTTCAAATGATAATGGAACAAACTTTGTAAGTTCGTTAAAAGGGCTGAAGGATTTGTTTTAAGCGGTTGACCAAGACAAGATACAACGCGTGACCTCCAAAAAGGGAATGACATGGAGGTGGTGCCGCATTTTGGCAGAGTCTTTGAATCGATGATAAAGTTAGCTGAATGTGTAATATCCGCGGTCCTCGGAAACGCAGAAGTCAATAGACCACTTGCATAAATGGCTGCCAGATTAATATTCTTTTGTTTACATTTAAATTAGCCCTTCTGGCCTCGTTCTCCAGTACAAAATTCAAAAGAATACATTATCTCCAGCGAGGCCAGAAGGGCTAATTCAAATTTAAACAAAAGAATATTAATCCGGCAGCCATTTATGAAAGTGGTCTATATCGAGGAGTTGGATACTCGGAGAAGAAAGCCAAGTTTTGACAAGTTAATTCGAGGTCTCTTTCAACTGTTCGTGACGATTCTAATAACGAACCTGTGTTGACTCCAAACCATTTCTTAATTGGAAAGATGGGAGGTGACTTTGTCCTAGACCCAGGGAAGCGTTGGCGGAGGGTTCAGGAGCTTACGAGACACGTTTGGCAACGATGGATGAGAGTATTTACCGCACAAGTGGATGTTCCCTTCAGGAAACATTCACGTGGGAGATGTTGTTGTGGTCATCCACCCTAACGCTGTGAGGCGAGATTGGAAAGTCGAAGGTATCTCGCGGAAGTATCCAGGGGCCTGTTTCTCGAACGTCCCGGTAACTTAATGGGCCCGAAGCCATGTTTTAAAATTACAATTTAAAGGATAGGAAAGCAGGTTCTGGCACCTAACCAATCCTTTTTGTTTCTTTAGCTGAAAGTTTTATTGTATCATTTTCAAAACTTTTGAAATCCCCATCTTGAATGAAAACAGAACAGCTTTACGGGCCTGTTAAGTTACTGGGACTTTGGAGAAAACGGGCCCCAGGCTCCGATGGGCTCATGCACGTGCTCGATGTACGAGTCAAGGACATGCAAGGTTCTAAAGCGACCAATAACCAGAATCTCTACACTTGACATTCAAGACATTGAAAAAAAAAAAAAAAAAAAAAAAAAAAAAAAAAAAAAAAAACACTTAAGAACTGAACAGTTTTGATTGATCCCTGTATTATATAATTAACTTAGTATAATTAATTTAATGTGTTTTTTTTAAGAACGAGATGGGTCCTTGTTCTCTGAGGATTTTCACGTAATGGCCGCATGTTGGCTTTTTCAGACAACTAAGATATTCATCAAATATAAAGCTTTTACTCAATTTTTCCAGTTAGATAGATAGATAGATAGCTT